TTTTTGGGGAATTTACGTATAAAGGCTCGAAAATGAAAATAATTACAAATAAGGACCCAAAGTGAAAATAATTACATATAAAGGTCCAAATTTGAAAAATATTACAATTAAGGACCAAAATAACTTTACGTTATGACGATAGTGGTTTTTTGAACTTTATCACTGTATATATGTATTGCCTTATTCATTTTATACGTACCCTCCTTCGCTTAATGAAATCTTCTTTTAGCCAAGTTACAGTTTGACTAGGATAAGCATTATATTTATCAATATTTTAATATTTATTCAGTTCTAAATTGAAAATCTATCCTATACCAGACTAGTTATGAACATGAATCACATTTTGTAAAGATTACTACGCGTTAATCGAAGATATTTAAAATCAAAAAATTATAAAAATTATTGTATTCGTAGAAAAGTTAAATTACTTTCAGAAAATTGGCAAAAAATATTTCTAATTTTTACATGCAAGACGCTAAGATAATAAATACAACAATGATTAAAAAGCAATACTTTTTAACTATTGAATGAAAATTACATCTATATAATTTTAAATGTCAATTTAATTAGTTACAATAAATTTTAACCATTGATTATAATATTTTTCAACATTTGGGCTCTTATTGTCCGGAGTGAAGCAAAGGACTCATATGTAATTATTTTCACTTTGGGCCCATATTTGTAATTATTTTCATTTTCGGCCCCTTAATTGTAAATTCCCCTAAGCTTATATTTTTTGTTTATTTAGTTTTATTTTCTATTTTCCTGCCTTCCATTTCGCATTCTGATGAAATAAATGGAAAGATTACTAACTTAGCCATCTATTGTTACAAAATCTACAGTATCTACCTGAAATAACATTGGTTTCAAAACTGGTAAGATAGAATATCAGCATACAAAAAAAAATGAAAACTTGTAACGCATCACCACCCGTCTCTTTATATGCCACTTGAAACCGTTATTACAGAAGGGTTATTTGACCCCAATTTTCTATCTCCAACTTTGCCTTTTTATAGGGATATAGGAATAGATATCGAAAAAGATAAAATGTTAAGTGCAGCTATTTTAACAAAGCGCCTTTGCACTATCGCTATTATAGCTGCGTAGTCCAAAATCTATTTATTAAAAATTCTTGTACTGCCATTGCAGCTACGAAACCTGATTGCTACCAAACAAGATCTTTGCGCTTTATTAATTATTGAATATAACCACTATGCTTAAAACACTTAGTAGCCAAATCTCTATTAATTGAAGTGCAAGTAAAAGCTAAAGCATTTAGAGGATCATCTAGATTTTCAATCCAATTACGATTTTGTCGTGCTTAATATAAAAAAAACATTGTTCGATCTATAAGAAAATAGGTTACTATTAATATTTATAATAAATCACTTATTTTAATTAATTAAAAAGCTCTTTTACACTCACCATCCAAATTAATACGAATAATAAGAGGCACTGAATATCTATATAAATTTTAGCGATATAACTAATTATCATGTTTGGTTCGAGTTCTTATATTTTATTGTTTAAACGAGTTGTTTTACTTGTAAAAACATGACGCACTTTATTTTGTGAATTCAATACAGTAAATATTCTCGAAATCAAAACGAGAGTAAAACGAAAGTCAAAGTGAAAGTCAAAACGAAAGTAACCGAAAGTCAACCGAAAGTCAAAACGAAAGTCAAAATGAAAGTCAAAGTGAAAGTCAAAGTAAAATCAAAGTTAAAGTCAAATGAAAGTCAAAGTGAAAGTCAAAGTAAAATCAAAGTTAAAGTCAAATGAAAGTCAAAGTGAAAGTAGAGTGAAAGTCAAAGTGAAAGTAGAGTGAAAGTCGAAGTAAAAGTAAAAGTCAAAGTCAGGACGAAAGTCAAAGCGAAAATCAAAACGAAATACTATTGTTAAGCATGATAAACAACTTTACCGGCAATCAGTTTTCGTAAGCCAGAAAAAAATCCGGCTACCATTTTTTTGGGCGGCACTATGTAAGCTCGAGCCTAGTATTTACTATACTTATAAGTATGGTCATCTTTCCTACTCATAAGTTTGATAGGTATAATTTTTAAATATACGTATGAGTATAAAGATCTAAAGTTGTACTACGCTACTACTTTATTTTTCATACTATACTATATATATATATATATACTTTAGATAGGACTCTATATTACTCTATACTCAGTTGTGACCTCACTAGCGTTGCCAACAAAATTACGTAATCTTAACCGTCACAAGGAAATAACTACCGGCACATAGTAATTTTTTTTTAATACATATAAGAAATAGTATGTGATGATAATTTTGTTGGCAACGCTAGACCTCACCTAATTCAATGTATTATACGTAACTCTTTTGCTCACTCATACACCACAACTATACGTATTACTCTATATATACATTCGAATAAAAAAAAATCTTGTGATCTTGTAAGTCCGTTATGTTTGTGCGCAGTTGAAATTTAAAAGGCGATTACGTACGTATGTACGTAACTGATTTTGGTGGTGCGTTTAAGAAAATGACGATCTGGAAATTAAAGAATTCTCCGACCAATAATTTTACGACAGGGTGAAACCCGCGCAGAAATAGTTACATTGGTCCTTTTCACCTTTTTCAGCAGTGGCGGTATTGTAATATGTATTTGGATTATATAATGCAGCAATTTCCTAATTAGTCTTACAAGAAACTTTTTGAACCAAATTAGGTAATATTGTTTTAAGCTTCCCATGTATAAGATAAAATGTGACGATGAATTATATCATTATGCGTTCGTGGATCTTTAAGACCAGATCCAACAAAAAATCCATATTAGTATCCAAGCCCGGTCCATGTTGGGCCAACCCATGAACAATCCATGGAGAGTCCATCCCTACATATCGGTTACATAAAAAATTACATTGTCCAGCATCGGAGTTATCTTTTCATTTTAATTACCAACTTCAGCGAACTTTTTTAACGAAACATGTACATATCAAATGACATAATTACATATCGATATATACAACCTCCCTAGCGTCGCCAAAAAAATCAGTTACGTACCGGAATTTAAATGAAACATCCGGTACTCAAATAGTTATTTATGCTAATAGCTTATCGATATATAAATTTTATTTTTATTTTTTTTGGTAACGAAGCAATATATAAATTGCATTTTATTTAATTTTCACTATATACACTACAATTAAATTTCATAATAATGATGAAAATTTAACTCAATTTTTGAAAGACATTAAAACTATTACCAATAAAAAGTATTCGAATTTACGCCCATTCCATCTAATAAATAATTATTTCGATAATAAGTCTGTCGAAATTAGTTTTTCATAAGTTGGCGAAATTAATTGTCATAAATAGCGAAATTATTTGAATTCATTATATCAAAATATATTAAATAATTATTGTAACCGTTCATATAAAAAATATGGCAATAGGCGAAATGACTTTTTTTAAAAAAAATAATTTAGACACCCATGTATATGTCTTTCACGAAGTTTTCGCAGTTTCAAACACTTTTAAGACATTTATATTTTTTAAAAGGATCCAAATTTTTTTTGATCGTGTTTAACTATTTTCTCCGTTGCGATTACTAAATAAAGAAATGTAAAAAATATGTATTATATAAATAACTTATATAATAATGAATGAATCATATTCATCTATATTTAAATCTACTTCGGCTTCCTTATAATCACAAGATTTCACTTCAGATTAACCAACGCGATGGGTATATTATTTTTGATAGTTTGTTAAAACGTTTGTTATGAAATAAATGTTTTTATTGCGCAAGAAGCAACCCTATTTTTAAGAAATGTACAGTAATATTATTGATATCAATATCGTTTTTTTTTTAAAAAAAAACTAAGTAAACCTTTCTTCATATTTCTCCTTAAGATGTGTTAGATATAGATATTCCGATCAAGTTTTGTTTCTCTAATGACTTGTATTGCCGCACGATTTGTAATACAGCGTAAAGAATTCATTTTAAGAAATGTACAGCACTATTATCGATATCAATATCGTTTTTTTTAAAAAAATAAAAAGTAAACTAAACCTTTTTTCATATTTTACTTTTACTCTCTTTAACATGCGTTAGTTATTCTGATAAAGTTTTGTTTTTCTAATGACTTGTATTTCCGCACGATTTGTAATACAGTATAAAGAATTCATTGTAAGCAAAAAAAACATTATTATCGTTACCGATTATTAATCAAAATAAATCAATCGTACTTATTAAACCATCGGAACCATAAAATTAATTGAATTTAAAACGTAACTGATTTTTGGGTGACGCTTGGTTTGTGGATATATACTGTATACGGAGCTTAAATTTGTTTAATACGTACAACAATACATTTGTTTGTTAAAGATTAATACGTAAAACAATACATTTGTTTGTTAAAGATTAATACGTACAACAATACATTTGATTTTAATGATATTATTAATAATAAGAATGACAAGATATACTTTCCTACTTAATAAAAAAGTTTAATACGTAATGCTTTAATCTTTAAATGGCTTGTCATTAATGATAATCGATAAAAATTTTTCCTACTTAATAAAAAGTTTAATACATAATGCTTTAATCTTTAAATGGCTTGTCATTAATGATAATCGATAAAAATTTCTGATTGTTTTAATCCACACGGAAGAAGACTTGCAAAAAAGATTTGCTTCTTTTTTTTCCAAGTCGGATTTCTTTGTGGTGTATGGGAGATTTTTAATTGCATTAGTTTGCAATCATATCCCAATTTTGTAGCTGGCGCGATTGTTCGATATGTCAAAGGTTGGTACAAGTCTATTATAAATTTTCAATATTAAAATAGAACAATAGAATAACAAACTTTCTTTCTTTATACAGTATGGTTTGTTTTCAAAGAACATACAATTTTGTCTTTAAGTAGACAATAAGGTATGTGTTTCATCATTTTCTTTAATTGTGTTTTTTTTTTTAATTTAATATATAAATAATGTTCAAGATCTATTTATTATTCAAAAAAAACAAAATGACAAAAACTACTCCTGAATCACCTTATGAACATTTAATAAAATTTTTACGGGAAAACATAAAGTATCTTTACAGAGAACTAAGGAGATTGGAGCAGTGCATGGAACGCGACCCAACCAATGAAGAAAGCTTCAAACAAAGAATCGGCGAGTTCCAAAATCTTGTAAAGGAACGAAAGTGTGTTTTAGATGAACTTATCGCTTATAGAACGAAGTTCGATAAGTATGCATTCACGTTAGAGGCGACGCAACAAATAATTAGTTGTATTTATCGTGAATGAGATGATTTAAAAAAACAAAATGAACAAATGACCACCGAAAATGAGAAGTTAAAAGAAGAAAATAAGAAGTTAAAAGAAGAAAACTCCAAACTAAAAATGGAACTCGAAGCATTAAAGAATCAAGGTATTTGGGGGGTTTTTTTTTTTGTATGGTTATTTTTTATTTTACATTCAACTAACATTCTATCTAATTCCCAAAAAAAGAAGAAATACCGGATGCACAATAATTTATATAGTAATATAATGTATATTGTCATTAAGATATGTTTAATAAAGGCACTTCGCCAATTTCAAATCCATTTACAAATCCATATTTTTCTATTTAATTATCATTATGTATGAGTAAAAAGTTATGTCTTTATTAGAATGAGTTGACTGCACTCTTTTGTGGTTAATCTTTTATTATGCTTCTTCATTTTAGATTAATACTTTCTTTCTGTACACGAATATTTTT